GTTCAGGGGTTTATTTTTTTATATATAAGTAGAGTTTCGAGACTAACAGTAAATCTGTTATATGAGACTGGTAGTACCGTTTTCCTAAGATGATAGGACTAGAGCTGACGTTTTCATTGAATTTAACATAGCCTTGCTTTCCCAAAAGTTGCTCTTATCCTGGCTGGAGTAGACTGCCGTTTCGACCTCACATAGGTCTTATCAACACCCCCAGCGGGAGTCGAGCCGTGACAATGTAGCATGTGAGCTTCGCACGTTAACAATTTGGCCATATTGGTACGAGTGCCCTTAGGTCACAGGGCAGGTGTGAATTTTAAGGAAGGCCAGGTCTTTTCCCATATCACATTCTTTGGTGGAATTGTCGGTGAAGCAAACTTATTCTTGCTACTACAATCGATTACATTACGTATTTTTTGTATATAAGTAGAGTTTCGAGACTACCAGTAAATCAGTTATATGAAATGTATTCACGAAAAATAAGTAATATAGTCGATTGTTATAGCAAAAATACGTCTGTTGTGCTTACTTCAATTTAGGGTGAAAGTGTTTGGTCAAGAGAAGGCGACGTTGGATTCCTCTTAATTTTTCTTCGCACAAAAATACGTTTGCCTCATCGACAATCCCACCAAAGAATGTGATATGGGAAAAGGATTGTTCTTGCTTGAAATTCACATCTGCTCTGTGACCCAAGGGGGCACTCGTGGCAATGTGGCCGAGTGGTTAACGTGTCAAGCTCACATGCCGCACTTTCACGGCTCAACTCCCGCTGGGGGTGTTAAGAAGACCTATATTAAGTTGAAACTGCAGTCCACCCTGGATGAGAACAACATTTGGGAAAGGAAGGCTATGTGAAATTTAATGGAATCTTCAGCTATACTCATATCATTGGGGGAAAATCCTATTACCAGTCCTTCATCACCTGAAAGGAAATAGGCTGAATGCGGCTCATATATCTGATTTACTGGAAGTCTCGATACACTACTAACAACCGAAAAATATTGAAATTGACACGTGGGAATGCGTCGAGAGCGAAAAAAGGAGGATAGAACTTTGGGTCAGAATAATTTATTGTTGAGACTTTCATTTCGTATGAAAGTGTATGAATAAGATATTCGTAGGTCGGTCTCATCAGATGAGGACGAATGAATCCCGTTGTACTGCAGCTGTTTGGCTTTTATACGACGTTAAGATTGATGCAGTCCACGAGGCTTCCTCCCTTTTTTCTTGTATTAGTGTTAACTTGAGAATTTCACAAGAATGAGTCTCAGCTTTAATGATGTATATTATATGTTGGACGAAAGCTTAGCTCGTTTTCACCCGAAGCGAAGGAAGATGGCTTGTGGACTGCCTCAACCTGGACATCGTATAAAAGCCAAACGGCTGCAGTACAACGGGATTCCTCTGTCCTCTTCTGGTGAGATCGACCTTCGAATCTCTTCTTCATACACTTTCATACGAAAGTAAAGTCTCAACAATAGTGTTATCTCAGGTGAGTCATCGTAACCAACTTACTCTTCATAAGACTCATTTATACGTGATTTCTAAGTTTGATGACAGAAAGGGTATTGTGCAACACACAAAGGCTATTCTACTCATCTAGTTGACACGATGATGGTTCTAATTATATATAAGCACATAACAAACTTTTCCTTCAAAATGAAGGGTCTAGTCACATCTAATCAACAAGAGATTTTCCAAAAGCCAGATTTTCTTCTTATATTATTAGTCCTACGCCGCTTAAGTTAAGTTTTTCCCACAATATGACTTCCAAGGAAAGCAAGGCCTATTGTCTATTAAGTATACTTGTATTTACCATTACAATAGTAAAGGCTACTTATTTTCAAAATAAGTAGGTCTCGAGGCCACCGGTTATTCTTGAAAAGAATATTCTTATGAAGATAAGAACTTCCCGAATCACGAACTTCCATGATCGGCCTCTTTATCCACGTTAACTCATATAATCTGTAACGTAAATGTATTTTCGCAGGTAGAAAGCCAGTCTAATTATAGGTGTAGTTATTTAATAATTCATACATTAAAGGATGTATTAGCATGTAATTTGTATTATTATTAAATGTGAAATAGCCCTACATGACATGTTTGATGAATTTGCCTAGGATAATATAACGAGCGTAGCATGCTTTCTAGTTTCCATAACCCAAGCCTTAGCATGCTTTCGTGTTTGATATTACTTTAAACTATGTATGCTAATATATGCATTCGTTTGATACAACCACTTTCCCGACTAATTATTTAAGGCGAGAACGAATTGACTCCGAGGCTGCATCAAATTGCGTCAGAAATAACAAACCAGCCTGCCCACCTGAACCGTATAACTCCCGCTGCATATATGCCCCTTCGACGACCGTCTTTCACTTCGTCCCCCCTCCCGAACCAGTTGGCCAACTCGTATACAGACAGTTGCCAGGCCCAGTCCTGTTCGCCTAGCGTCTTAGTGACCCGGTCAACAGGGGAGCCGGCAAACTTGCCTTGTCAACACGAGGCTATCTCTCCAGACCTACCGTCCGGGCATTCCTCTGCTTACATCAAAGCGCCTCAGCGGGAGAGTCCCGCCTACGGGACCTATTCTGACTGTGGTGATGCCATCTTGAGGCAGTCAGAGGCGATGGCGAGCCTCGGAAACGGAGCCTTCACCAGCGGTTCCCCAATGCCTTGCTTGTTGTCCCCGGCCTACACGAGTGGGTGCAACCCATTTCTACCGCCCATCCACGAACCCAGAGCCCCTGACCGGTTGCGCTCACTGGCCGACGCGTTGACAGATTGTTCGAATCAACAGTTGTCATTCGAAGAAGGCTCAAGTCAACCCAATCGTTCCGCAGCCTCTTGCCTGTGCTCATCCTCCGCCTCCTCATCCTCCTCCTTCACTTCCGCCTCTTCTTCATTGTCATCGTCGTCGTTCACTTCTACTTCCTCCTTGTCCATACAGTCAGCCTTGTCGAGCCTCGAACAAGCCATGTTCCGGCCACTTGATTACGTACTGGCGAAACCGGGCTCTTATACTTCGGCCTGCGATCAAATGCTTGGGTCTCAGGGGCAAGCGCCGGCCATCGGCGTCTTGAATAACCAGCTTCTCATGCAGCCTCAAGAGCAAGCATATTGGCTCCAACCAAGTCGTTTCACACTCAGAGGGTCTCGTTTGGCGACCGCACGTAGATTGGAAAGGCAGGGAAGAACAGAACAGGAAGAGCTGGAAAGGTTTGGAGACGAAGCAGTTGGACTAGGATCAACGACCAGTATCGATTGGCTAGGCTCACCATTTGAGGCTAGCGCCATAATCAGTGATCACTCTGACTTCGGCTGTCCTTCTATACAGCTCGGGGATCAGGCGACAAAAGAGGCTTCTATGGGAAATGCTGGGACAATAAGGGATTTCGGGGCTTGCGATGACTTTGGTCACTATCTCGAGAAGCGGATTAGGGCTTGCGGGCCCGATTTTGGTGCGATGATCGACTAGAATGCAGGATAGCCTAAATGAAGTCACCATTAGTAGTAGTAGATATTGCAGGATGAGAAAATGACAGCAGATTCAGACTCTAAGGTAAAAGCTATAAAAACCGACCTGAAGCTGCAACACTTGGTGTTATTTGCAGAGAATAACTGATGCATTGTGAATATAAACATTATATGTGCAGGACTAAAGATTTGCATTATAAACCATACTGTGTTTATGTACCAGGTAACACTTCAGTTGAGTAAATAAAATTCCTAGTCAATCACAAAGGATCTGTTACTTAATCTCATTTCAGAAAATGTTGTTTGCATCGCAGCTCTATTTAAGTGTATGATCTAATTGGAAATATTTCTCAGGGCAATTAAGGCCTGTTTTTGTGAAGACTTTCATTTCGTATGCAAGTACATGATGAAGAGATTCGTAGGTCGTTCTCACCAGAAAACGGAGGCGGATTCCCGTTGTACAGTGGTCGTTTGGCTTACATATGGCGTTCAGGTTCACTCAGTCCACGAGACAACCTCCCTCGTTTCGGGTGAAAACGGGATGAGCTTTCGTTCGTCATATGACGAGCAATCATCAGAGCTGGGACGCATTCTTACAAAAGTCTCAAGTTAACGCTAAGTCAATAAGAGTTACCGGCTCCTTCCTACATGATATTTTTTACTCATAACGTTATTTTTTTTAAGCTAAGGATGGATATATAAAGTTTTGGTTGATTCACTTAGAAAAAAGCCCAACGTCAGACCTCGTTTATCAAGGCTTAATGACCAAAAGAAAAAGCATGACCGAAATTGCGTTTGTTCATACGTAATTCTGGTTGAATTGATGAGATGTAAGCCTGTACGCTAAAAGTCGGGTTACGAAAGCACCAGTCAGAACCCGTTAGTCTGGAGTCATTTTGGTTTATTGACCCAAGGAAAAGCAGGGTATGACAAGTTCGGCAATATGATGTGGGCAAGATTGCAGTCGGCCCCCAATCTCATCTTCGTGTTTTTGCGAATCAGCGTAAAGCATGGTGTCCTTCACAAGGAAGACTAAAGGATTCATCGGGGTGACAGGGTGGAACGCTGAAGACTTATTTGGACAAATCTACAGGCACAGCTCCGAGGTATTCCCTCTTCAGCTTCCGGTGAGGTCAGCTTACTAATCCCATCCCGTTGCCTCTTCAAACGAAATGAAAGTTAATTCAACATTAATAAACTTATTTTCCTGACCATTCTCTGAAAGGGTGAGATGAAAATAATTATTTAGTGTTTTAGTAATTTGATCACGTAGGTCTTTAGGCTTGCACTCACATACCGTCACTGTTAGCTGAGGTGACGAATTTTCGTCCATTAAAGGTTGCTATTCAAGTCCATCGTCTGCCCGTCTTTATCAATATTCGGCTCGATTTATTTTTTTATTATAGTTCTGAACCCCGTTACTTAGTTGACCACTACATCCGAAGGTAAAAGATCAATAGATCTCCACATTACGTCTTTTTAAACGCCTCATAGATGAAAATACGTGCTAATCTCGTGTATGCATGAGACTATAGTGCGACATGAAAAGGGAGAGAGCATGAAATGGTCGTGAACTCTGTACAGTTTAACTTAGAAGCAGGATCTATTTGGAGTAAGCTATATAACTTCAAAATAGGTAGTAAGGACACAACTAGTTGGTTATTACTAAGACATCTGTAAAGAATGAGGATGAACAGATCCCGTTTGCTTACATTCTAAGGCTCGGTATCCTAAAAACGAGATATATCTGCTCCGCAGTCAAATACGCATACTATTACATTGAGTTTAATTTTTAGAGTGAGATTCCCAACCTTAATCGGGTTTGAGATACACAAAGAAATGAAAGTCCTGGTTGTCTATCCTGACGATAGCACTAATAAGCCTAGAAAACAAGAGATTTATTGAGGATTTATTGAAATATATGCTGAAAAAATATTTTGCATTCGTGCACGGCGCACATAAAAGCAAGGATGATATTTAAAATAGCTGGGCAAACGTTTGTATGATCAAAAATTGTGCATCACTATATTTTAAAAAGAATATACTTCCAAGAGAAGAAAGTACAAATCTGATGAGCCAAACATAAACGGAGCCTCCAATTGATTCTCGGTCTTCTCTGCCAACCTACATAACAACGGCTGATTATCTATTTATTTAGAGCAACATGCATTTACTCGTTGAGTATTATTATTTTACCAAGTAGTTAAGAGATCCATAATCAAGTGCGACACGTATTGATCAAATATACACCTCAAAAAGCACAAATCGGGTCTAATATCTATCAAACTTTGCCTATATTCATAGCTCTTGCATAAAATAGCATGTAAAAAAGCAGATAAACTCGACATTAGCCAATAGACTGAGGCACATAATTCTAAAGCTCTAACAGTTTATAGGAGTCGAAAATTAATAAATTATGTTTAATGAAGCGGAGATATAGAGTTAACGACAATTTTTATCGTAACGATCTACAAAACCAAGTCTGCCTCAACTAGAAAATATTAACCAAGTAGTGAGGTTCCGAAAAGGAAAGCCGAATTTTGCACATAAGTGACTGCTTAAATTAATAAAGCAATCCTTGCTTTATTCACTTTCCTGAACCTTGACTAACTTCTACGCCCCTCAGCCTAAAATATGTATGGCTAAGTATATTATTATGAAGAGAAACTGTACTTCGAATAATCCTTTAATAGATTGATACTGGCGTACCTTTCATTTCCTTTGAGAAGGCAGGTCGAAGGGATTCATAGATTGACCTCACCGGATACCGCAGGAGGGTTGCCTTGGACTATTGTCTGTTGAATTGTGCGAAGAATAACTCGGCTCACCGTCCTGCGACCCCGGTGACTCCATGCTGAGCTTTTGTCCGTCCTGTCACGGACATCGTCAGAGCCAGAAATCTTTTTTCACGAAAAATCACAAAAAACACTAAACCGAGAAAGGTGGCCAGCTGAGATCCTACTTATGGATTCAGAAATCGAAAGTGGCTGAACATGTGGTCGTAATTGGAAGATAGATAGAGTGGTCTAAATCCCAACGTTTGCCAGTTATAGGGACTTCACAGCTAAGCAGAAGATAAGAGAGACGATTAAAATTAGCAAAACAAAGAGCATCTTGAAGAAGAGGAACGGATGTAGTAAACTAAGTAAGAACTTTCTCTGGCTTCTAAATATAATAAGAGAGAGATAGGAGGAAGGGGAATAGGAAGATTCACTGATTAAGAAAGGACTTGCATAAGCTGTAGTTTGTTTTTAGACCTAAAATTGACAACCAACTCGTGGTTGTTGTGTACACTCACTAACACGCATCCACGAAGCTGTAACAAGACCCAGGACTACTGGATGCTTCTCTAGTTTATTTACATTGACAAAAGTTGTGACCACATCCGCTCCCCTGCCTGCATCACTTTGGCCCACTTACGTGCATGTAGGACAAGCAGGCGTCAGCCAACAAAATCATCGAATGCCTCAATAAGATCGCAAAGTAAGGTATAAGAAGTAGGTGTTTTTTTGTGATCTTTCGTGAAAAATGATTTCTGGCTCTGACGATGTCCGTGACAGGACGGACGAAAGCTCAGCACGGAGTCATTGGGGTCGCAGGACGGTGAGCCGAGTTATTCTTCGCACAATTCAACAGACAATAGTCCAAGGCAACCCTCCTGCGGTATCCGGTGAGGCCAATCTATGAATCCCTTCGACCTGCCTTCTCAAACGAAATGAAAAGTACGCCAGTATCAATCTATTAAGGGATTATTCGAAGTACAGTTTCTCTTCATAATAATATACTTAGCCATACATATTTTAGACTGAGGGGCGTAGTAGTTAGTCAAAGTTCAGGAAAGTGAATAAAGCAAGGATTGCTTTACTAATTTAAGCAGTCACTTATGTACAAAATCCGGCTTTCGTTTTCGGAAATGAAAGTCTTCACAACAACAGGCCTTAATTGCCCTGAAAGATATTTTCTCAGGACCATTGTATGTTGAATTGTGGGAAGAATACCTCGGCTCACCGTCCTGCGACCCCGATGACTTCGTGCTGAGCTTTCGTTAGTCCTGTTGCCGACATCGTAAGAGCCAGAAACCATTTTCAACGAAAATTCACTAAAATCACTAAACCGAGAAAGATGGCCAGCTGAGATCCTACCTACTTCTTATACCTCACTTTGCGATCTTATTGAGGCATTCGATGATTTGGTTTGCTGACGTCTGCTTGTCCTACATGCATGTAAGCGGGCCAAAGTGATGCAGGCAGGGGAGCGGATGTGGTCACAACTTTTATCAATGTAAATAAACTAGAGAAGCATCAAGTAGTCCTTGGTCTTGTTACAGCTTCGTGGATGCGTGTTAGTGAGTGTACACAACATCCACGAGTTGGTTGGCAATTTTAGGTCTAAAAACAAACTCCAGCTGAGGCAAGTCCTCTCTTAATCAGTGGCTCTTCCTATTCCCCTTCCTCCACTCTCTTTCTTATTATATTTAGAAGCCAGAGAAAGTTCTTACTTAGTTTACTACATCCGTTCCTCCTTTTTAAGATGCTCTTTGATTTGCTAATTTTAATCGACTCTCTTATCTTCTGCTTAGCTGTGAAGTCCCTATAACTGGCAAACGTTGTGATTTAGACCATTCTATCTGGTTTCCAATTACGACCACATGTTCAGCCACTTTCGATTTCTGAATCCATAAGTAGGATCTCAGCTGTTCACCTTTCTCGGTTTAGTGTTTTTTGGTGATTTTTCGTGAAAAATGGTTTCTGGCTCTGACGATGTCCGTGACAGAACGGACGAAAGCTCAGCCCGGAGTCATCGGAATGAGTAAAGGTCTTCTTCTCACAATTCAACAGACAATAGGCCAAGGCAACCCTCCTGCGGTATCCGGTGAGGCAACTCTACGAATCCCTTCGACCGGCCTTTTTAAACGAAATGAGAGGTACGCCAGTATCAATCTATTTAGGGCTTCTTTGAAACCCAGCTTCTCTGCATATCTCGTAATTAGAACAAAACTTTACGTCAGCCCCGGAATGAATACAAGAGTGAGTCTTAGCTCTGAAGATATTTATCAAATGACGAACGAAAGGTGAATCCGTCATACCTACTTCCTACTATACAATTTCGTGAAAACAATAAGGAATCCTACTATTTGCGATTTTTTACTTGAAATTCTTATGCTTAATTGCGTAAAATAACGAGAATGCAAGTTTCTAATTACCATCAATGTACTATAAATATTGCTGTTAGTTAGGCAACATAAGGTTTAGAGTTAGAATTCGATTGCTACCCAGACATTGTAATGGTCAAAAAGTTAAGAAAAGAGAAAACTGACTTTGGTGTATATATATATATATATGTATATATACCGCATGTGGATAAATAACAGAGCTGGGGCGATTAAATATACTATGCATTTGGAAAAGGAAGATAAGCCAGTGCTTTTTGGTATGTTGGTTGCTAAATGATTCGAATCTGGTGGGATGTGCATATGAAGTTAAAAAAGACGAGTTCCCCTAGTTATTATCTTTTTAATATCCCCATAGGGCTAAAGTAGGATACATAAGATCATAAATGATAAGAAGTTGAATTCTAGCAGAAGCAAATTATCGGGACTGGGAAGAGAAATTTATTTTAAAATACTCCTCAATTAGAGCTAATTGACATTTATTTTATTATTCTATGTAATATAATAGGAAGAGACAGCTAATAAGTCACGATAAGTGGATGGACAGCTTATCTAAGTACTTGATACTAACGTACTGTCAGCTTGAAGAAACATTTTCCGTTTATAAGGTAAGTTTTGAGAACACCAGCAAATCAGTTATATAGGATGTATTCACATAATTTCGTTTTAGGTGATAAAGGAATGTTGGTTGAATTTTTCCACAATGATATGAGTAGAGCTGACGCTTACGTTGAATTTCACATAGCCTTGCTTCTCCAAAAGGTGTTCTTATCAAGGGTGGACTGTAGTTTTGACCTCGCTTTAGGTCATATCAACACCCCCCGGCGGGATTCGAACCATGACAGCTCAGCTTGTAATATAAACACGTTAGCCACTAAACCTTCCTTGAAATACACATCTGCCACT